TTATCAAGTCCTGGTATGAAAAAAATCACTGGTACCTACCTATGTTTTAAAATCTGTTTGGGGGGCCGGCCCGGTGGCGCACTGCGCTAGTGCGCCTCTTGGGAAGCGCGGCTGCCCTCCCGCCGAGGGTTCGGATCCCACATACAGACCGGTTCCCGCTCACTGGCTGAGCGAGGCGCGGGGGCAACACTGAGGGTTGCGATCCCGTTGCCGGTCCCGGTCCGGTACGGGGGCGACACTGAGGGTTGTGATCCGTTGCCGGACATGGAAAAAGACAAAAAAAAAAAAAAAAAATCTGTTTGGTATGTTCAAAAAAATTAAAAATAAAATCAATCTTTTTTAAAGACTTTGAAGTACTTGTGTTTCTGTGGCATTTTGAGAATTTGTAATTACTGCTATTTTTAAAGTGACTTGAAGTCAACTCTTTATTATTTACCTGGTGAAATATTGAATTAAAAATCATTTAGGCTGAACTTTGACATTTGTACAGCACTTCCAGTTGAACAAGAAGAGTGTATAATAAGTGTCCTAGGAATTAAGATCCAACAAAAATATACTTTGCTGGTCTAGAAAGAACTCAGGAGGAGTGACAAAAGAGTAAAATTTTCTTTCTACCTATCTTTCTGTGACCTTTTAAAAAAAAAAAAAATCCAGGAAGAGATAATTTAAAACTAAATGTTAGGATTGTCCTCTTTCCTTAGGAACCCTCGAGGTGAGAGAGGAGGGTGAGCAAGAGGTAGAGGAATTAGAGAGGGTGAGCAAGAGGTAGAGGAATTAGGTATTAGAAATACAAAGTAATTAGAGTCAGATGTGATGTCAAAATCCAGGAAGAGATCATTTAAAACTAAATGTTAGGATTGTCCTCTTTCCTTAGGAACCCTCGAGGTGAGAGAGGAGGGTGAGCAAGAGGTAGAGGAATTAGAGAGGGTGAGTAAGAGGTAGAGGAATTAGGTATTAGAAATACAAAGTAATTAGAGTCAGATGTGATGTCAAAAATTGTAAAATGAAAACATTCAATTTCAATTATGAGTTTTGAGCACTCCTGTTTCAACAATGCAATTAAGGAGAGTAGAGGCCAGTGATTAAATCTGAAAACAAGCATAGTCTCAACATAGATGGATATGCCCTGGTGGGAAACCTCTTTATATAGGATATTGACACCCTATGGTATGATTTCTTTGCAACTTTTTGATTGGTCCAGGGCGGTAGCTTCTTCGGAATTGATGACACATTGGTCTGTACAGATTTCTAATAGAAAGAATCCTGGTGCAGGTTGGGTATCCCTAATCTGAAAATCCAAAATCTGAAATGCTCCAAAATCTGAACATGACACTGAAAGGAAATGCTCATTGGAGCATTTTGGATTTTGGATTTTTGGATTAGAAATGCTCAACCAGTTAAGTGTCTGCAAATATTCCAAGATCTGAAAAAATCAGAAATCCGAAACACACCGGTCCCTAGCATTTCAGATGAGGGATACTCAACCTGTATATGAATCAGAAGATCTGCATTCTAGTTCTGACTTTACTGTGTGATCTCTCATTCCTGTCTTTTACTTTCTTGATGCTCTCATTTTCTGTTGCAAAATGTGGATGGACATAAGTTCACCAAAAGTTTATTGAAGAAATCAAATAAGTAACATATGGGGTTATTTATTGAAAGGAGCAAGAGAATTAAAGGAGTGGAAACACTGTAAAGTACTATAAGAGTGTTAGACATTATCATTATAATAATACTGACCTATTTTCCAAACCCAAATTGGACCATTTGGTATGAAAGAGGATTTTTGTGTCACTTCCAAGGGCAAGAGGCAAACTGCAAAATGTAATTTGGATGCCAAAATATTGAAATATCCTGCACATTTTGATGGTTTATGGGAGCAATGATAAAATATTTAAAATAGTGATGCTCAGTAAAATTCATGATGTGTGGTAACTATAATTATGAAATTTCCTTGCAAAAGGTATTTTATTTCTCATATAAGTAGAAGTTCTTTGATTTCACAGAATCCTAAATCTGGGAGGGAATTGTAAGAGATTCTACGTCAGTATCCTGGCTGAAGTATTCAGGAGAAATGCTGGGTAAAGATTTTGTGGAAAGCAAATTTCACAATCCCGCTTAGTACAGTAACTTCTTATTACTGAACATCCCTACCTCAAAAATCTCTGCATTTATTTTTTTCACCTTTTAAAATACATATATGTAGCAAATAAGAAACTTATGTTGGAAAGAGATAAACTCTTTTAATACAAAATTCTTTTTTAGGGGATGATAATGCTGAAAAAATTACAGTTTGAAATCTCTACCAGAAAGACTTGAAATCTCTTACAGGCCATAAACTTTAAATTCATTTCTCCTAGAATATGTATGTTTCTTGGGTGGTAACTGCAAAAGTCTATTTGCTTTGCTTTGGTTTAGCACCATAGTGAGCCCATATGATATCTAGCATCAAACTCTATCTAGAAATTAAAAATTTTAAATTATTTATTCCTTGGGGATTTTTTGTTTCTTAATTCAGTAGTGTATATGACAGAGGTAATAGTCTATTTCTTGAAGCTATACTACGAGAAACTTTGGTGTTTGTTTTCTGTCTTTCATCCTGCTCCTCCTTTCATGAAAGGTTTCAGATTTATAGCTTGAGGTTTTATAAACCTTTTGTTTTCTGCTTTTGCAGTCATGTATCAAAATATTAAGGTGTTTATCTTTATTTTCAATGACAACAAAGGGATTGTTTTATTTTCCCTGACATTTATAGTAACTCAAAAATCATGGAATAGATCAAATTCATATTGATTGTTTCATGAAGCCTCTGGCTTTTCAGCAGATACATAAACTGATAAACTGATACAGTTAAGACACCAAAATAATATGAATTTAGTGTTAATAATTCAGTTTGAAGTTTTAGTTTTTACCCAAATGCCTGAAAACTTCTGGATCTCATCCCTGGGATTGGTTCTGAAAGGCTGAATGGATTTGCAGCTGGGCTAAAACAAACAAATCTATATCCTTGGCTGGGAGGTTGCTCCATGAATTATGCATCTGCAGCCTTTTGTGACTTCAGAAGTTAGACAGAACCAGAGAAAGTGGCATCCAGATACAAACGGTCTACAAAACTGAATATGGTAGCCAGGAGTTACTAGGCAAAAGATTTTGTCTTGTTGGCACAGTTCTCTTAGAGATTGGGGCACACAGAACACAGACTAATAGGATGGCTTGAACTTGGCTTTTAATGCTCTTGGGAATTTGTTTTTCCATGCAAGGTGTAAACTTCATCCTTGGAGATTTCTGCTGCCAGACCACTGATGGAGGACCTTGATTTGTGTGCCTAGGGACTGTCATTCTTGAGTCAGGAACTCAGCTCAGTGAAAGAAATGAGGAATAAGGGGAGACTGATGCCTCATTAAAGGGATCTCTTTTGATTGAGTAGAGCAGTGTTTAGCCCAGTCCTCCTCAGTGGTATTCCTAAAGTTGCTGAGCTTATTATTTATATCGATCGTATCATCTTTGTACATTCATGGAAAGAATATCTATTTAATGTGGACACAACCAGCCATCAGAGAGAATAAATGCCTCACTAAAGCTTGATGTGGCTGACTGTTGGCCTCGTGGATGGTAAAACTGAATCAATCTGGCTAGATTTTTTCTTTTTTAATTGCTGGTGTGCTGCATTATACCATCACAGATTGACCCAGTTGGAGCTCAGAGCTTAAGTGGGTACTAAAGCAAAAAATCTAGCATCCTGTGGGTGGTTTGAAATGCCAGGTTTGTTTTTGTGGAGTCAGAAGTGTAATATCTTTTTTTTTTTACGCAACCCCTGCTGAAATCTAAAGTCATGAAATTCAAGAAAACATGGAACTCACACGTTGAGGCTGTGCACACTCTGGCTTACCCTTGGTGCTTTGTTTCAGGTATATAAATTATACATCCCAGTGTAATTCAGAAATGACAGCTTCTAAGGAGAGTAATAAAAGATTTGTTGAGTTACAGAGAAGGTTAGAATATATAGTTTTTCTTGCTGAGTCTACGAGGCTTATGCTGCCCTGCCAGATACAGATGTTTAAGGCACACATGAGCATTAAGATCATTAACACACATAGTCTCACATCTTGTTTCCATATCTAGTAATTGATAAGTTAATATAAAATAGTCACCTGATATAGGGTATTAAATCTGTCCAACTATCTATTATTTTCAAAGTTTGATATCTATCATAACAATAACAATAATACCTTACATTTATATATTGATTTATATTTCATAAAGTGGTTTTATATAGTATCCTAAATCTGGGCTGGCTACTAACCTTAAAATTATTTGGTACTTTTATGTTGCTTGTCAGAAGACAATCACAGTGACCTTTAATTTCATGGAGAAAGAATCTATCACTAATGAAATTTATAAAGTAAATTATGCATTGATTTTTAAAAATACTCTTGCAAAAGGGAAAATTAAAAAGAGAGACCCTTGTAACCTATTCAGCTTTCTGTATGGCAGTGGTTGACAACTGAGAAATTATTTCTTTGTTGAGATTTTTTTTTTATCTGAGATAAGAATCATACTAAGAAACAACATCTGAATCAGAAAGAAATTCTAATTTAAATTAATCTGAACCACAAAAAGGTTGATTAATTTCATTTTCAAAAGCTTTTCTTAGCTTTTTTGTGCTTACCTTTCAATATTTCTTTATTAGTGTGGGATACAGACTTTGTAGAAGAATATGCTAAAATATGACTTCCTATTCATAAGCAAAACTGACAAATACCTTTTTTCTTATTATCTTTAAATTGCAAATGTCTGAAGGCCTGTCATAATTGGATGCGTCATCCTGAGATTTAAATGCATTACAATTTTTGAACGTGACTTGAAAACTAAACACTTCTCTAGGGAAGTGGGACAGGGCTGGCAGTAAATGGGATAGGGCAAACAAAATTCAATTTATGCATTCTCTTAAAATAGTTATTGATTATAGAAATAAGTAGTAGCCTATACTTCTTTTTCAGAACTTTGCAGAAAACACCATGAATGAACTCCTTGGCTGGTATGGCTATGATAAGGTTGAATTAAAAGATGGCGAAGATATTGAATTCAGGAGCTACCCTACAGATGGGGAAAGCCGGCAGCACATTTCTGTTCTCAAAGGTAATGACATTTAATGTCCCTTTGTTCATGCAAAGAAGGATTAACTATCTCAACCTGCCAGAATTGAGTTGCTTTGGGACTCATTTTGTTGATTATGCCAATGGTTCGTTTAAACATACATCCCCAGTAATGCTTACCCATATGCAGATTCTAGAGAATATAAGAGCACAATATAAAACACAAATAGACACAGCTTAATTTCCTTCCAGCAATGGGAGAACTAGATAAGGGCTAGGGACCTTAAGTGCTGTGGTCCTGCCCACAGAATTATAGAAAGGGATGATGCTTGCTAACTTCTAGTTTCCTGATCCCTTTAATATATCAATTGTTTGGGGATTGGGGTTCCCCGTTAAGTGAAATGTTAGGTTTAGATTTTCAGACTGCAAGAGAGAATCACTATTAGTTTGCCGATCACCCTTCCTTGTTTTTTTTTTTTTTGGTAGGAATTCTAAAGGGAAGCCCTATTTTTGTTTTGTTTTGTGCTTAAAGTTTTCACCTTTTCCTGCCCCCACACCCTTGAATAGGGTAAGAAGAGAAGTAAGAGAGTAGTAGATGATTAGATCCCATGTTATACTATGAGAATGTTCATCAAGGCCAAGCTAAAGAGGGGAAATTACAGAGGCCTGGTAGACCTGAAATAACACTGATTCTACCAGTGGACAGCAGTGCCAGATATGTTATGGGGAAGCCTGTATGAATACTGAATTTATGAACCTAAATTTGGAATGAGAGTTTGTCAAAGAAAGGAGGAGTATATGAAGAAGCAGCCCATTTGTGGACCTTTAATAAAATGTGGGTAAAACTAACTGTGCATCATCGCTAGCAATTTGATCAGTATTTGCATTGCATTCAAAATCTATTGGCATAAACTACCTGTTCAAGCATTTTATTTCTAGTCTTTAACATAGTACTTTTCTTTCTTATAAGCCAAGCAATGAAATGTAAATGAGCTGTCCTGCAGGCATGTGGAATTGAATGTACATGACAAATTTTATGTTAAGCTTGCTATGAAATTGTACACATCATGTTATGGAAATAGTATCATCAATTTCACTGTAAATGAAAAATGCAAGTCATGAGTTTATATTCTATAAACTAATAGCTTGTATAATACTTGGCCTCGGTAATAATCTTTGCCTCTGGGGACTATGGAAAGAGAGAGTACCAGGATATGCTATAAGAGGAAAAAAGTTGTTTTCTATGGTTGAGGTTTTTTAAATTTTATTTTATTTTACTTTTTGTGATTCCTGTGAAATGATAGGATGCACAAAGTTCATATCATTATAAGTTTTCTTTATTTTCATTTTTGTTAATTTTTTTAGGTATTATCAATATCCTGTGAAACAGCAGTTTTCTTCCCAGTCATCTGCCTCTTTCTCATTCGTTCATTTGATTATATTATGGTCCAAGTTTATAATGTAGTGGGACCTATTTACAATGTTGGAGGGAGGCATGTTTTAGGCTTTCTCTCTGTTAGCCAGGGCGATGCCTGCTATATATCACTTTGTACATGGAAAAGGTTAATTGCCTCTCAATTTTCTATGGGATTTTACAGTGCTAAAATTCATCACTGTGATTCAACTGGGATATTAGCTATCATAGTGGAGCAAATTATAAAGGAGCCCACTGGAAATTTATATTAATAAGACTAGTGGAGTTCTGGTAAAGTGTTTAAAAATTTGCAAGGAAAAATTTGTTTTGTTACATGGCCATTTTTCTTGAGAAAATAAGGAAAATTTTAAGTCTGCTGAATAGGTCCTTTTGTCATATTGAGTATGATTTTTTTCTTTTACAGAAAATTCTTTGCCAAAACCAAAATTACCTGAGGACAGTGTTATTTCACCATACAATATAAGCACAGGCTATTCAGGGCTTGCCACTGGAAATGGACTCAGTGACTCACCTGCAGGGTCAAAGGATCATGGCAATGTGCCCATTATTGTACCTTTAATTCCTCCCCCTTTCATAAAGCCACCAGCAGGTAAGTCACTACTGGGATTTCCAATGATAACAATTTATAGAAAGTTGTCTTAACTATCTTATGAATAATTATTAAGTGCTCAAGTTAACTTTGGTAAAGATTGTTTTAGGAACTTTGTAGATAAGAAATGTTAGTGCATGTATTATTTAAAGTATTATTGCTGTATTAGGAAATGCCCTTTACTACTGCTGCTTAGGCTGTAAATTTTCAACTGAAAATGAACTTTTTTCACCACCAGCTACAAAAGAAAGTTATTTTTCTTCTTCGAAACCATCTGTTTAAAATAAAAAAAGGATGAAAAAAAATTTTTAAATAAGATACCTACAATGACTGATTAGCAAGAAAAAATGTAACCATGGTTGAACTGGGTGGTGCGTAAGGAAAGTCATGTCTCCTCTGGGTTTTCTGAGGAATGGGGTAGTTTTGTAAAAGGGCATGTAGCAGGCTTGTTTCTCAACATACCTTCCTCTAAATCCATTTAAGAATCAGCATAGATTTTGCATCTTCTCCACAGAATTCCTTCTAATTCCTGGAAAGCTCTCTTTGAGAACTTTAAAAAGAAATAGACATTTGAATTTCACTTGCATGAGAATGTGATCAATTCTTTTATATTCCCAGAAAATTAGATGGCAGTGTATTAGATCTAGATGGTAATGGGCTGAGCATTATGGGATACTGCAACCTAGGCTACAGATATATTTCACACAGAGAAAGAAGTTAAATCATGGTGTATCTGACTTGCTGTAAAATGTTGGAGTCATGCCAGAATGATTAATTGTGACACTGATTAATTTTTTGTATATTGAATTGAACAATGATAAATACTGTGTTTTAGTAGCAGTACTTATTGCAACATAATAAAGATAATGCTTGTATTTGTATTAGGGAAGATAGGTGTTTGGTTATGTTTCCATAAACAGTGAAGATTATTTGTAGATTAAGGTTCCTGGGCTTATGTTATAGATATATTTACACTGTATTCAAACTGTTACATTTTTCTTTATGGTATGACCACTTTTTCTTGCTTGGTCTACTACATTTTAGCAGTAAAAGTGTCCTTTTATACTGAGGTCCTTAGATATGTCATTAAAAGCTATGTACCTGTCAAAATCACTTGTAATTGTGTTTGTCTACTAATTACTAATGTAATTCATGTATCATATTGTTTGCCTTATTAACGCCCCTGTTCTCCTTTGGTTGATTGTTTTGTGATACAGAGGGTCTAGGTTTATCTCCCTAGGACCAAAGACATATTTTACATAGGCCAACTAGGGTAAAAAGGGGTGACTAATTTTGTAAATGTAGAGTTCACATTTGAATATACATGCAGTGGCTTAGGTGGGAGGTGTTGGTGAAGACGGTATCAATAAGACAGTATGACTAGGTGATGAGAACATGGACTTCAGATTCAGACAGATTGGATTCAAATCTAGGCTTTGTCATTTACCAGCTCTGTGAGCATGGACCAGTTAGATAGCTCTCTTCCCTTTAGTTTTCCCATCTGTAAAAAGAGGATCACAATCCTACCTCACAGGGTTGTGGAGATGAGATGAGAAAATGTATGTAAAGCACCTAGCATAGTGCCTGCCACACAAAAGGCATTTAGTAAACACCATACCTCTTTTTCTTTTTTGCAGTCCTGATTCTGCCTTAGAGTTATCATGCACATAATTTGTGCATAAAAAGGTGTGCATCCAAATGCAAATTCGTCTCTAAGATTTATTTGAGCAAAGCAAACAGCTTTAGAAATTAGCATAGCTGAGGCTAACATGAATTTGGCATGCCAAAAAACCTGCCCTGGAGTTTCCTGTTGAACTAGCCACGTGGAATTCAAGCACACAGCTCTTATTTAACTCTAATTCCACATCAGATCAGGGAATAAATATGCAAAGGGATAGAGGCCAAAATTGAGCCTTGGAAGTCTTAGATGTAGGAACTCTGAGGAATTAGAAGCCAGAGTAACTGAACACCAGTGGTTTTATGCTGTCTTCCATGAAACTCCAAGGTGCTCATCTGTTGAAAATAAAATGTAGGGAAGGACATTTTTAATTTTCTGTAGTCAACTCTGTCTTGCTCCAGGGTTCTCTATGACAAGGCAAAGATACAGAAAGATTCTCTGCTTTCAAGGAGCTTACTCTATTAGTCCCTAAGCAGAAACTTACAGGAGAGATGAATTTTGATTTACCCGTACTACCAAGAGCAGGGATCACAAGCCGTTTCTCTAAAGGGTCAGATAGTGTTTTAGGCTTTGTGGGCCATACTGTCTCTATCATAACTGTAGAACTCTGCTGTTGTAGCAGGAAGGCAGCCATAGTTAACACTTAAGCAAATGGGTGTGGCTGTGTTCCAGTAAAACTTTATTTATAAAAAAGGCAGTGGGCAGGGTTTGGCCCAGGGACCATGATTTGCTGACGTTTATGCTAGGGTAATATTAGCCAAAGTCTCATGATAACAGGAAGATGAATAGAGTTTCAAAGAGTCAGGCTGTGGCCCTTTCCAGGTGCTCTGTGTAATATCATAAAGAAGGGACAACAAAAAGGGCAGAAAAATAGGGGCTTTAGGGTAGGTGATAAGCTCTGGCACACCAATGTCTGTTGAATAAATGAATGACTGAGATTCAAATCTATTGCACATATGTAAGACAAGTATAGACAATTTCGTTGTTCACTGAGAAAATGCTAGTATTTTGTTCGGATTAGTGCCAACATGCCTGACCTTGGCCACAGTTTCCTTGGTAGTGAAGTGGGGATTCTATCACTCTTATCCATGAATGAGTAAAGTCCACACATTATCCAAAAGCTTCCATCTAGTTAATCATTCCAACTCTTTCTTTGCTAAAATTTTTTCCAGAGTTGTTATTCAAGGTAATCGAGTTGAGGTATGTTCACTGTCTATTTTGTATCCATATGCAGGTTAATGTGGCATTCCTGAGGGGAACTTATAAAGGGTACAATGGCTAGAAGCAAAAGGCCCACTCATTAGTCCCTGAATAATTGAGAGTTGACTGTATCGTGCAGGTGTTCACCTCAGGATAGGGAAGATGAGGATATATATGCCTGGGATTCTTCTGTTAGGGTTCAGATTATTCCTTTTGTACTGTAAACTGGCTATGTGAAAATGCTAATAAAATAATACTTTATATTGGTATTAAATTCTTTACAGTTTATGAAACTCATTTACATTCATTATTTTATTTAATTTGATCTTTACAGTAACTCTGGGAAATAGCATGTCATGTATCATTAAATGAACAGAAACTCAAATAGGTTAGAGGGCTTTCTCAAGATCATGTGGTTTCTAAGTACTTGAGCCAAAACTAGTATTAAGATCTTCTGACTCTTAATTCAGTATTCTTTTTAATATAAAGTTGCCTTTTCAGCATATTCCTACAAAACTTCCCTAGACTGTATTAGAATAATAATGATTATTAATATACTACTTCCAGATTCCCCAGTGATAGGAGATACTTCTTCCTGCAAAATGTTATTTTTTCAAGTCCACATCTTTTGGGAGATTCAGTGAGTTCTTCATTAACCCTGAGGATTTGCTGTTCTGTGATCCTGGATAGCCGGGGGTGGGGGTGGGGGGGTG